TGCGTGCGTGCGTGCGTGCGTGCGTGCGTGCGTGCGCGCGGGAGGTGTGGAGCAGAGCCCCCAAGCAGAGCGCAGTGTTATTAGAGATGAGACTGTGTCGGCAGGCGATTGTTATGGTTGATACTGCTGTATTCATTTTTTTATGGAACATGGAAACTTTTAGTTTCAGCGGGCGACCGCTCCACCTCCGACTGCTCGCACCAGTGCGACCGGACATTTTTTTTTGGCGCACTATTAGGAAATCAGGTTGCATTTGTGACCAAATTGGTCGCACTGTAGAGCCCTGGGGGACCTATCCACGTCATCATTTACCCAGAATGCTTTGTGTGGAAATAAAATGGCCCCGTCCGTGTTAATATATATTTTTAAAAATGTACAAAACTAAACATCCTACAGTATTTTACAGTCTTTATTTTACAGTTAAAATATGTTTATTAAATAAAGTCTAATGTTACAACTAATCGGGGATCCCTTTAAGAGACAAAATAAACAAATGCTTCTGCTGGCCATAAAACTGGACAAACCTGACGCCAGGCCAACCACTGGTCAGATGAACTTTGGACTGAGTTACCTGAGTTACCCAGCCAGACTTTCAGGTCACATCCTGGCTAAGTATGCTTGAACTATTTTACTGTTATTTAACCRGGCAGGTTTCTTTGAGACCGCAGATCTTCTTTGCAGGGAGGCCTGGGCCTGAAGACAACATGTACTGTACATAGTTTTGGGACATTATCCACCTTGTATCTTACTGGTCTGGTAAGCTGGTTAAGTTTTTAATAAGAGCAAACTTTGGACTGCCCAGAATGGGATGACAGGAGGAATTACTGGCTGATTTTTGATTGATATAGTGGATATTGATCAAAGGGTTTGGGTCGTCGGGATCTTGAGACAAATCTGTGTAATACTAGGTCGAAGCCACTTCTCCTGTGGCTACAATCTCTGCTCCCTAGTCAGGGGTCTGAAAACTTTCAAAATAAAGCAACAGTCACTAAACTGGCAACACTGTGTTCTGTGATCTGCCTCCTCTCCCGTGTCAGACAGAGTGTTGTGTTCATTCAGTCAAGCATTAAAGCAGTCAAGTCATAATTTATTATAGACATGTTTGGAAAAGATTATTGTACAAATAAGATATTTATTGTACATGTGGCAACACTGAGCAAACCTTTGGTGGCGTAATAAACACTGACAGGGCCAGGCGCCCTGCTTTGATGATGGTAGGGGAAACACTGGAATTCATGATGGGATCTCACTGGGCTGTGACTAGATGGCAAAAGTATTTCTGAGCAAGTTTCGAAAATGTCTCAATATTCTTGGGGTTCTCAGATTTCTTGCTTGAGTTATAGAGGTTTGCAATTCTGTCACTAGAAATGTAAACTTTTTTTAAACAGTGTGACAWTTCTTTATATCTCTTCATTACATCTTCATAAAATTGCAGGACTTTAGAAAATCTTATGTTGGCAATTATATTTGTAAATATTGCAATGACAATATCAGGTGCAATATCCTCAGTAACGTGTGTTTAGGKCTGTTGTTCTGTCAGAACAGTGTGTGTGTAATGTGTACGTGTGTGTAACAAAACGAACAATAACCAAGGAGGCAGTAAGTTATTTTAAACCTGACGTATCCTTTGTTTGTTGATGCCTGGCTGGCTCAGGTGCGGGATGTACGGTTTCAGTTCAGAAACGATAGAGGTGTATAAACTGCTCAGGTGTGTAGAGGAGGAGCGGCTCAGGTGTCGGCCGTCCTGCCGTCTGATTGGTGCAGACCGGCAGCAGGTACAGTTGGCCCAAAGCCAACATTCCTCCAACGCTGAGTCACGTGGTTTGGTCATTCTCCACCACACACACACACACACACACACACACACACACACACACACACACACACACACACACACACACACACACACACACACTCACGTGTTTGTTTCTTGACCCAGTGGAGACTTTCCATTGACTTCTATTCATGTTTTTTAGACCTCATATCCTTACCCTGACCTGTCATTGGTCCGTACGAGGTTGCTTTTTTTGGAAAAAAAATTCCCCACGTTGTAGGAAAAACCCACACACACACACACACACACACACACACACACAC